TCTTCCTGTGGCTGTCACGGTGTGTCTTTTTAATGACTTAGAATACTACTAACTCACTAAGAATCTGCACTGGTCATCTAAGTGTAGCATGTCTTGTATATTCAATTGACAGTCCACATTATAGTAGACTTGCGAAGACACCATAGAAGGAAGAAAACAAAACAAAACAAACACAAATATCAACTCTTTTTTTCTATCCTGAAAATGCTAAAACCCCTAGATGAGCAGATCAAGCTTTTAGATAGGCAGACAATCACCTTATAAGAATGGCAATTTTAGTAATCACACAGTTACAAATCTCCCAACAACAGACATTGTGGTGTGACCCCAAGTGTTCAAGGCCTGAATCTTCCCATGAGTCACACCAAACAAACTGATGACAGATGGTGAACGGCAGGCTAAGCTGTATCACTCTCACATGTACATGCATTTGGGTGCATTTGGTCCTCTGCAGCTGGCCAGCACATCTGGGATGTGCACACCATAATGAACTACTGAGCAGAGGAGTGGCCCTTCATCAATTTCCTCTGGAAGCCCCCCAGAACTCAAAATGCAATGTGACATGTAATTGATTAAGGTCAAAGTCTGTGCCATTCAGAGTTACCTCTAATTTGTTGTATTATTTTAAATCAAGTTTGATCTAGGAAGTGATTTTAAATGTACAACTCTTAGGAGAATTCTGTCTAAGGATACCCTGACTCTGGGCTGAGAAGACAATAGCCAAGACAGTAATTTTCAACCTTCCCTGCTTCTAGTCTTTAGGAATCTACTTAAGTTACAGGCCTGGCTCAGACACCCAGCATGTTGTGAGGAGATCGATCAATTCCTGGTGACGTCTTCCAGCCTCTGAGAAGAGAGGTTGCAAAGTGCTTTCAAATGTGTCTATTATTTGAGCACATTTTGGAATGTATGCTTTCCATTACTTTGCACTCCCTTAAATATATCAGTTTCTTCAAGAACAGAGACCCCTAAATCCTTGGAACATCTAGTGGCTCACAAGATAACATACTGTTAGCTTGACTTTTATAAGAATTGTATTGGAAAACTAAACGGTGGCATAGGGGGGATCTCACTTGCTGAGCAACAGTGACATCGGGCTTGCTCTTACTGCTTCATAGTGCCTAAAAGCTGTGACACAACCTGTGTACATGCATCAGTTACCTTTTTATCACTGTGATAAAACATCACAACCAATACAGCTTCTAGAAGGAATGATTTAATTGGGGCTTACGGTTGCAGAGGGTTAGAGTTCATCATGGCAGAGTGGAGGAAGTAGGTGGTGGTTGGCTAGAACAGTGGAGAGTTCACATCTCAAACCACAAAGAGGAAGCAAAACACAAACTGGAAATTATTTGAGTATTTTGAAGCCTCAAATGTTGCCCTCAGTAGCATTCTTCCTCCAACAAAGCTATATTGCCGTATTCTCCTCATGTACCTACCAACTATGCATCAAGCTTTCAAATGCCAGACACTTTTGCAGGATATCTCATTCCAACAACCATTGCAAATCAAGCCAAATTGATCTCTGGGTGCAGTGAGCTGTACCATACCCACTATAGCACCTCTGCTCAGAATCCACAGCAAATAGGACATGTCCCCCAAAACAGACTGGTGAATGTGTCGGGAATGACACAAATCCTGGGAATTTGGAGGGTGCCGTGTGGCTGAGAACATAGGTCTTTACACACATTCATCTGCATCAATAGACTCAGAGGATTTGAAGGGGGAGGGGACTTAGAATAGTCTACCATGCTTGCTAATTCTACTTGGAGCATCCTGTTTAGCTCTCTGCTTCTGGGTCTCTTCCATCATTGCCAAGAGCTGAACCACCTGGTTCTCACTTACTGCTCTAAGGATCCTGGAGTCAACAATTACCCTTTTATCTCTTTAGCTCTTCCCAACTCTGTTCCTCTGGGCACAGAGCCCAACATAGACATTCCAGGACAAATTTTATACTGCGCCTTTTCATTATTATTCTCTACAAGTAGGTATACTAGCAACAGAAGTTAAAAGCTACTCCATACCTAGAGTGTAGTGTAACTGCAATACCAGTTACTTGGGAGGATGAGGTCAGAGGATCAATTGACTCTAGGAAGTTCAAGGCCAGCTTGGGAAACATACTGAATAGAGTCATGGTCTAAAGGAGAAAGGAGGACAAGAGAAGGGAGAAAGAGAAGGGGAGGAAAGAAGGAGAGGAGGAGGAGGAAGAGGAGAGGAAAGAGAAGGAGGGGAAGAAGCAGAGAAAAGAGAAGTAGACGGAGAAGAAGGAGAGGAGAAGGAGGAGAAGAAGAAGGAGAGAAAAGAGGAGAGGGAGAAGAAGGAGAGGAAAAGGAGGGAGGAGAAGGAGAAGAGGAAGAAAAGCAGGAGGAGGAAGAGAGGGAAGGAGATGATAGAGAGAAGGAGCTCTGTTGCTGGGGTGGATCTGGAGAAGGCAGAAGGCAGGAGTCCATCCACTGGGACCTTTCTGGGTAAAATCACGTTGAGATGGTCCAGCACTTAGATCTATGAAGAGTGCATGGGGAAAATACAACTGACAAAACAAATTTCAAACTGCTGACATCATGCAGGCTTTGTTTATGCCACATCAGTGAGACCAGCTAGGAAAACAAAAGTTGAAAGAACTTGAGTGTCCGGATGATGCCAAATTACAGCTAGCCTTTCGGTTCTACTCTTTGTTTTATTATCTAAATAACACAATTAAATAATGACTGAAATACAGTGCATTACCTAATTTTCTGCTGATAGGTGATGAATGACCTCCATAGTTTTGCTTACTCAAAACGCATCACCCCAAAGTCCTTCCTATATTGCCAGCTCATTTCAAGTATTCCCCAATAGACTAAAAGACATCAAGAGATTAAAAGACAGAAAAAGTACTAAATAAATACTAATAAATGTCATAAATGTTCCTGGTTACAGGTCCAATGTTCTGCTTATGTGGGCAAGAGCACTGCTCATGTCGTTTCCAGCTGTCCAACATCTCTGAAGGAACAAATTTAAGGGTTTAAGATGAAAATCTGGTCATTGTTCTCTAGACAATGGTTGGCTACTCAGGTCTAGCAACTGGGGAGATCAATGGGCAGGAACAAAGTCCAGCTCAGAAAAACTGAACAGAGCAGGAAAGACAAAAATACAGCTCAATCTCCTCAGGCATCATTTCTGAGATGTCTTTCCCTCACACGGAGTTTCTTTCATCTTCAAGATTTGCAAACAGTGGCATAGATAATTCTCTTAAGATCCTTGTGAACGAGGTGGCTGCTGTGCATTATGATCCTGTGTTAATTATGGAAAGATAACAACAGAGATGAAAACTCATCCAAGGTTACCAGTAGCATCACATTAAAACACTCGTGGACAGCCCAGGGAGAAGAACCTGGAAGAGTGGGAATTGTCCAATGCTAAGATCCAGCTAGTTTTGAAAGTCTAATGCCCAAGGCGTTGAATTATTGCATTGTTCAAAGGGGCAGAAAACCCTCTTGGGAAATCAAGCATGTAGCTGAAGTGTTTTATTAGGGAAAACACCAGCAGAGTTGAGTCAAGAAATGTTTTTCACTCCATCTGGTCTCATGTTTGTTCTTTATCCCAATTTCAGGAGGAGGCGACCTGATGGTCATCTTTGGAGTCTGGTAATTTTTTTTTTCCATGGGAGAAGAGGAAGCCCAGGCAAGACTTTTGTAGAAGGGCTTTCCAGGTAAGTCAGCTACAAGAATGCACAGTACAGGAGAACTGAGAGGAGAGGAAGCTGTCTTGCCCTGGGGTATAAAGTTCAATATGAACTTGAACAGACTACAGACCACAAATTAAAGCAGCTTCGTAGTGGTTATTCATGCTGAGAGAGAAAACGACTCCGAAGGAGCTATGCAAGTTTCTCTGAAATTTCTCCGGTTTCAATAAGTCTAACAGAAAAGGAGGTGGTAAAGAGAAAGGACTCCTGCAGTCTAAACCTCCGCGCTGATCAAGTAGAGGCCAGCTACAAGGCTTTGGTGTTTCCTAAGCATAGGTTGGTAGTATTTGCAGAGAAAACTGTATTTTCCAGAGAGCCCAGCGCTGCAGCAGTTTTCCAGAACTCAATGCCCTCCAACTTCTCCTCTCTATAAGTTCTCATGCAAGGACACACCCAGCCTCCATTTTTTTTTAAAGCCCACTTAGCCGAGATCCCACTAAAAACCTAAGTCGTCCTAAAGACCCTGGCCAGTCCTTCGCAAATGATTTCTGCAAGTGGAATCTCCGGAGAGGAAGAGTCCAGGGCTGTACAGGTTTGAGGCTGTGAAGATTAATGGAATAAAAGGTGACGGTGGCACAAGCTGTAATTGCCTGGGCCAAGGGTCTCAGTTTTCAAGGGTGGGCAGTCGCGGAGCAGAACAGAAAAGGGGGTGAAGATGTGGCGATGTGCCCAGGCAGACGGGAAAGGCGTCCCTTTGAGGGAGAAGGGGGAGAAGACCAAAGAGCAGGAGTCCTGGAGGAAGTGGGAGAAGAGTAGGAGGAGATAGCAAGGAGGCGGAGGAGAGGCGCGGAGCTTTTAAGCAGAAGGAAGGGCTATGAGAGCGGGGAGGAGGGGCGGGACTTAAGGCGTGGCCTCACCGACGCCCCGCCCTCCCCTGACTCCGCCTCCGAGCCGCCCGCGGGGCTCTGCAAATATGAAGAGACTCTGCGGCGGCGGCAGCAGCGGCCACTGTACCTCCAAGCTCTGCGCGCCGCGGCCGGGGCGGGCCTGGGGACCGGGGCTGGGAGCCAAGGGGCCGGGGCGGGACGCGGAGAGGCTGGGCTGCGGTTCGGAGTCCCGCGCGGACAGGGGCCCGACGGCGCCTAGGGAGCGCGCGCCTCGCAGTCCCGCGCTGCGCCCGCCGGGTATGGGGCGCGCCGCTGCCTGAGGCCGGGCCTGGCGGGCGGCCGCCGGGGGCTGCGGCTGGGGAGCCGAGCGCGCCCCGCACCGGAGTGGCCCGCGCGCGCGCTCGGAGGGGACGGAGACGGACTACAGCGAGGCCCGGAGGAGCCCGGAGATGTCCCGTGTGCGCCGCCTTCTGCTCGGATACCTGTTCCCAGCCCTCCTGTTGCATGGTGAGTTCGGGGATGGATGGATGAGTGGTGGTGGGAGTTTCGGTCCTCCCATCGCCCCGCCGACAACGTCGGGAGTCGCGCCCGGTCGCCGGGTGCCCAGTGTGCCTGCTTACCCATTCTGGCCGGTGCGCGGAGCCCCTTTCCCCCAGCGGCGCCCACAGTGGTTTTTGCCGCTGTAGTGTTCTTTCTGGAAAGATGCGAACCTCGCCCAGATATTTTTTATCTCTCACATCCGTAGCTGCACGGCCAAGGGAAACTTTTTTATCCACTCTGAGGGCCTTACCAGCTGTAAACTGTCACAAAATCGCAGGCTTTGCGGTTCCCTTTCCACCGGTGTCAGAGCTCAGCAGGGGCTCTCGGTGAGGTCCTGTCCTTTACGAGACTGTAAAGAGAAAGCTGTGGTGGTTTATAGGGAGGACACGTCTCGCGGGTGTTTGTCTGCCGTCTGAGGACCAGTGTTTGTAGTCTGCCTGCACCGTGGCTCTGCATTGAAGCCTAGTGTGCTGCTGGGTTCTCTGGGCGCAAGGGGTCTCTTCGTAGCGGATCATGGAAGCCAGACTGAAGGAGCTGGATCCCTCGTGCCGGTGTGGGATCAAGTTTTTCCTCTGCTGCTGCTTGCGCTGGTTCTCCAGGCTGCAGAACCACAGACATCTGCTCTTGAAAGGGGTTCTAGAGATTGCACCGTACAAAATAAGACAATTGCATTGGGGGTGTAAAGCATGTTTTATGACAGGTGGTTGTTGATAGTTGTGGTAGGCACTGGTGTGATCCTTCTGCTGTCCGGGGCAGTACTCAGACATCTGACATTTCAGCGTGGCTTCACTTCTCTCCTTCCTTAATATCCACTGAAGCCATCCTAACCTGCAGCTGGCCTATTGGGGTCAGGACTGTGGAACAGAACCCCACCCCCACCCTGTGCCCCAGAGAATGAAGGGAAGGGAAGTGCAGGCTTCTGGGGGTGGGGGTGCTATTTTCTTTGTAGTCTTTGGGACAGCTTTCGAAGTTCCCCCAGGCTTTGTGGACCTGCTGGAGCAATTGATTGCCAAGGTGTATGCTGAGCCCCAGCCATCCAAGATCTTAAAAGTCAGAATGGAAGGCTTGCAGTTCCAGGGCAAAGAGAGAGAGAGAATGTATAATTATAGGGTTGGACTTCTAGGCCCATCTGCTTAGAATTACAGAGCAGTTTTAATCTTTGGCTGAAACATGAAACAAATCAGAGCCAATGAGCAGATCAAACAGCAGCTGCCACACACAAGAAAAAAGAGAGGATGAAACAGGGGAATTTGCCCCCTCTTTGAAAAATACAAAACTGTTGTAATGTCTCTTTTGGGGATGGGAGAGATAGTAATGCTGTCAAATAAAGAGTTACTTGAAAGTTTAGACTATTTTGCATGAAATCATTGCCCGTTGAGCTTCAGGGACCATCTTCACAAATGTACCATGGCTCCACTCTGAGGCTTTTGCTGCCTCTTGAGAAACAGAAGCTGCTATGAGATGCCTACACACCAATCCAACTGAGATAGGAATAGCTGGCAGAGAGCAAGAGCCCATATATACAAGTGTATCCTTTGGTCCATGTGGCCAGAAATCTCCCACACTGAAGTCATGAGTCTGTGATTTCTCCTTGGGATCTGGAGAAGACTCCCCACTGGTGCCAGGGGAAGAATAAGACAGAGGAAGTAGCTGCAAGAGACATTCTGGGCTGCGAGTAGGAACGAAGCCAAAGAGCATGCATGCGTGTTTATGAAGAGAACTTAAGATAAAAAGGGAGGTTTGAAGAGCTTCATTGGACAACCTGGATAAACTTTCACAGAGTAATGCAACTTCACATTGGGTTTGCAATGGTACAATTATTAAAATAGAAGTTGTCCAACTATCTGTCTGCTTGGATCCAAGAGGGAGTTGTAGGATCCGGTGCAAGAAGCAAGCACAAGTAGTTATTCAGTTTCAAGTGCTCCTGGTCTAAGAAAGGTTAGCCAGAACTGGTTAGGATAGCATAAAGTATCAGGAGGGATTTGAAATTCTTCCCTGCTGCAATTTTTATACGATTAAAGCTTTTTTTAACAAAATGAGTAATAATCAACTTAACCCCAGGGAGTGGCTTGATGAACTGCCCCATTTAAGAGATAGGGGTTTTACAGACTTTAAAACATTCTGTGGCAAAAGCTAGAGCCTGCTCAATTATTTCAATAAAAGACACAAGTTGGAAGGAAATCCTAGAACGGATGAATGATTTCTTCCCTGACGTGTGTAGGCATTCGATTTGCTAATCGTGCGATGCCATTAGACTGTTTATGATAGCAGTTTCGTAGATGAAAGCAAGTGTCGTATGGTTCTAAGTGTGCACGTAGCAACCTTAATACATTTCAGACTGCCTGTATAGAAGACACGCTGCATAGATCAGTGAGGTTAAAGAGGAAATCACAGGAGGCTTTCTGAAGGACCTGCAGGAGATGCTGGTGGCAGTGGCATCGTGTATAGGATCCAGTCTTTGTTCAGTTCTGTAGCCACTTGGATTTCAATTCGTTGGAAGTCACAAGCCACCCTCCACCCCTATCCGTGAGTAACTGAGCTCTCACAGGACCACGACCACAGGCTTTCTTGCTTTTATTCTCATGTGACTGTGAATGTAGCTCGAGACCCAAGTTCAAAGTGTGATGCACAGGCGTGTGCCTGTCACGTTGCTTTCCTCCCCCTCAGATTCTGCAAACAACTGCACTTCTTAATCCAAATAAAACCCCTTGAGTGTCACAAAGGTACACAGCTGGCAGCTATCCATTATCACTGCTTTCTCTGCTTAACTGAGAAGGTGCTTGTGTTCACTTGTCAAATTTTAAAACTCATTCAGCTCTCGACACAGGCTAGCAGGAGGTGTGGGGAACATGGGGGGCAGGGGCGCTACACTGACCTTACAACCAGCACATTTTCATAGTGGAGCAGATGTTGGGAGAGTTGTTTCTCAAACACTGTTTATGTTTGTAGAACCGTTTGACTTCTCAGAGAAGTGGAGACTTTTTCAGTCCTTCCTTTTGATTTTGTTTTATTCTGTCAGACATTTAGGAGCTGAGGACATGGCTTGGTTGATAAAGGACTTGCCTTGCAAGCAGTGGGGCCTGAACTGATCTCCAGAACCTACATAAGCGTATTTGTAATCCCAGTACTGGTGAGGTGGATCAGTCAGGCTAGTCTGCTTGAATAGTGTGTGTGTGTGTGTGTGTGGGGAGAGAGAGAGAGAGAGAGAGAGAGAGAGAGAGAGAGAGAGTGAGTGTGTGTGTTAGAGTTAGAGTTAGATGGTAGTATCTGAGGCTTGACACCTGAGGTTGTTTACTGGCTTCCATACACAGGCATACACAGGAATATATCCATATGGGCCTACACACAGAAGACAGACAGACACACACACACACACACACACACACACACACACACACACACAGTGGGGAGAGTGAGAGAAAGGGAGGAGGGGATAGACTTTTAAAAACCACCAATTGCCAAATCAATGCTTAACCAACAAATTTCAAGAAAACATTGAAATGGAGCACAATAGAGATCTTCAAAGTGGCATTTTACTGACAGTCGTCTCTGTGACCAAGAAAACATTTTCTTCCCCGTTCCTTTTCCTTCTTTGTCATCAAATGGAATTCTGCTCAAAAGAATCATAGTTTGTTTGTACACAGTAAGGGGCAAGGACCTTGGACAGATGTTCTCTTGTTAAATAGATGGACTTGCATCATACATGGCTGATCAGTCCTGTGGTTATGAGTGATGTGACCATGTAGCTGCATACTGGTTAGGGACACATGACAACTGATACAGTCAAAGGGAAACATAAACCATGTCAGAGCAGGGGTAGGAGCTGGCATCCTGGGAGTGATGGGTAGAGCTCGGGGCACACAGAGCAAGAGTGCCTGAGCTGAAGTGATCCCCAAGGAAACTGCAGGTAGACACCTGCCAACGTCTGGCAAGGCTGCATGCTACTGTGTCATGATTGTATGGTTGTAGGCTATTGCTGGGTTCTTCCAAGCTTCAGAGTGACTTACTCTGGAAAATGGAGTAGTCTTGCCTATGTATGAGAAAGGATTCATATGAGAAATCAGTGAATGTATTCTGTCCTGTGAGTGCTCTCCGGATTTGATTCGTCCAACTAGCCATTGTTCAAAAATGTTTGTCTGCAGGTCCACTGCCAACGTGTGTCACTGCTTACTCGGTGTAGGGATGGAGGAGGGAGCTTTCCCTTTCCTTAAGAATTCCTGAAGAATATCTAGTAGTGATGAAGAAATGATTCTTTGAACCTCAGATCCAGGAGGGTGGCCATCTGTGGGTCATTGTACTAGTCTGCTTTCAGGAATCCTACATGTGTAACACACACACACACACACACGCACACACACACACCACAAATATCACACATAAACACGTACTATATACAGCATACATACATGTCCCCCCATATATGTGCATCATACATATACATATATATACATCATGCATTTTGCCTACCTACAAATACCATATATAGCACAAAGATCATATCACACACAGGTACATAAACATGCATACCATATGTATATATGGTATAGATATCATAGGTATGATATACCACAAACACCACATACAAGCATGTATTAAAACAAATACCAAACATATATTGACATACTATACACTACATATATGCATGCTGTATGAACATATATCACATATATGTGATATACATCACATAGACAAGAGGACTTAGCTATCTCAGTTCAGCCCATATCCAGTCCAAAGGCCTTGGTAGATATTAAAATATGTCCATCTAAATCAAACATAGCTAGAACTTCTAAATTTTTTGCTTTATTATTTTTTTCTAAAGGGTAAATATTTTCTGCATGAAAGTTTACAGATAGTATAAGCAGTCCTTTTTAGTTTTTGTTTACTACTGGGCGGAAACTTGGAACTAAAACCAAGAGTGTGGTGTGCACCAGGGCCCACATGGTGTTTAGCCCTGGTACCATCTGCAG